TCATTTATTCAGTCAGTTACTTATTCAGTCAGTCATTCATTCATTTATTCAGTCAGTCATTTATTCAGTCAGTTATTTATCCAGTCATTCATTCATTCATTTATTCAGTCAGTTATTTATCCAGTCATTTATTCATTTATTCATTCATTCATTTATTCAGTCAGTCATTTATTCAGTCAGTCATTTATTCATTTATTCAGTCAGTCATTCATTAATTTATTCAGTCAGTCATTTATTCATTTATTCAGTTATTTATCCAGTCAGTCATTCAGTCAGTTGACTGATTGATAGAAGTGTACGATCACAACAGCGTCTGTGGTTCTGTCTGTGAGGATGCTAAACACTTTATGGACCAGAGCACGTGACACACGTGTGATGTTGTTATGATGAACCTGTGACGTCACGGAGGAGCTCACAGCGCCCCCTAGTGATCAGGGCTCGTCATCGATTCGCGGACTCACCTCGCGTGCGATCTGGTTCAGAGAGTCGTCCTCGGCCGTCATCTTGTCCCGGTTCGGGATCCTCTTCCTGCCCGGACCCTGAGTCCCCATCATGTCCCCTGAGGTTAAACCACGGACCTGAGAGGCAGACGCTTCCGGTTCGGACCTCAGCTCCCGCTGTCCCCGGGCACGATCCAGAACCGGGAGGTCAATCTGAAATCCCGGTGTCTCTGCCCAGGAGATCCGGGACCACGGACTGGGACTTCGGAGCCGGGTCGGTTGTTGTTTGTGTGACGTCACGATGCGGTCGTTTGTCGTTAGCTGCTAACGTTGGCTCTCCGGTTAGCTCACCGGCTGCTAACGTTAGCTCAGTACCGGAGAACCGGGAGAGAAACACCGAGCGCCGGTACCGTCACAGGAGTCTGGTCCTCACAGCGCCGGTAAAATCCGCAGCCTAAGCCGTGAACCTCCGTTAGACCGAGACAGAAGAACCGGGAGACTTGTCCTCCAGCACCGGGAGGTGGACCGGGACCGAGAACATCCCGACACTCATCAGGAGACACGGGAGGAGGCTTTTATTGTGAAGGGGCGGAGGTTCACATGTTTACACACTGACAGAAAGTCCCGTTTTTCACATTAAAAGAATATGATTTTATTTCTAAGTTAAAATACTTTT